GATGAACAGGACGAAAGTATACCCCCCCCCTACCCCCCCCCCCCCAACCCCTCTGACAAAATAAAAGCAAATGAGCTTCCTTCCAACTATACTTCAATTGTATTTTGTTTTATGTCATTACAATATTTCAGCTCAATTCAACTGCCTATTAGATAGTCTTCTGTCAAACTGCTGAAGTGCTGATGATGAGATGAGGTATCACTCCATGGACCATAACTCCGACTTTAAAAGTGCAGCCAGGATAGTGTATAGAGAGAAGAAAGATAAGTTATCTATTTCTAATGCAGTTACTACACCGAGAAACCTATATCCTAGATATTGCAAACTAGCCTGAAAAATAGAAAGCTTACTCATACCATCTGTTTTGAGAGTTATTAACCTAAGCTAGAGTTTTGAATATTTAAAATCATCTCCCAGCAGCTTGTCCTACATGGAAATCGAATCAAAATAGTGTGGTTATGGGGATAATCGCAACCATCAGCATAACTCATACAATTCTGCAGCTGTCTACTCGTTCTGGCACCACCAAATTATACGGGGAATCTTCCCTGTGGTATATGGTTGAAATGATCATTTGGAAAAGGGCACCCTCATGGGACACCATATATCATGAAATCTTTCTTTTCTGAGTCACTCAGGGCATTGTAGGATATTCCGACGTTTTAGAGCTGTCCTGTGATAGTTTAGGAGGTATAAGCCAAGCCATTGGATGCACAAAAGCCAAATTTTGGTGCTAAGTTAGGTTAATACTGCTAGTTTTTACCATTCAAAAGTTCCACAACTAGGAAGGAAATTACATCTATTAAATATTTTACGAAAAGCATGCAGAAACTCTGACCGAAAAGAAAGCTCCGAGCTCTTCAACTATGGGTTGGTGAAATGCTGTAGAAAGAGGAAAAAGCTTGTTGTGAACATTACACTGCAGACAGCACTCAAATACTAAAAGAAAACATAGTTGAATAGTTGCTCTGCACCCAAACCTAGCTAAGAACAACTTCTTCTACTATGCATTTGAGGAAATAGCTGGAAACCCCACATGGTAACCTCTATAAGAAAGCCCCCTCTCGTTTCTCATCACTGCACTAGGTAAACTAGCAAGCATTTTTGCAGAGGCTTTAAAATCCAAATTATCATGTGAGTAGTTTTAACTTGTAATCTTTTGAATTGGTGAGCCTTTTTTAATATCGGTGGTGTCTGAGCCAGCTTGTGTGCTCGTCGACTGATCCACCAGGTAGGGGTGGGTATAGTTTGGGCAAACCCAAAATCCAAACCGAAATCCAAATCTTTTGGATTTTTGGTTTGGATTTTCGGATTACGGATTGGATTTTAGATTTAATTTTTTAAAATTTTGGATTTCGGATTGGATATTGGATTTGGTACTTCAAATTTTTGGATATCCGAAAATCCGAAATTTCTATACTGTATATTTAGTCCATTATTCCTATGCCAGTAGTAATATGTTCGATACCCTACCCATTAGATATTATTTCATATATCACTATTAATTACTTAGTTAATGTCAGAATATTTTCTATTTGGATATGGTTTTACTATTGCTACTTCTTATCAGGCGTATTAATGTCTTTGTTGCATTTCTTTGATAATAATATCATTACTTGAATACTTTATTTGGATGATTGCGGTGAGAATGAGGAACTTTTCAGGCAATTTAACATGAGTACTTCATTTGGATATTTATTTTTGTAAAAAGAAGAAACAACTCAACTTATAAGCTCAAAATCGAGAATCCAAAATATCCAAATCAATTAACCGTCCAATCCGAACTTATTTGGATTGGATTTGGATGGTCATTTCTTCAATCCGAAAACTTAAAATCCAAACAGAAATTTTAAATTCAATCCGAACGCCCACCCCTACCACCAGGTACCTACTTATCTCCCGCACAAATGAGAAGAAATCAACAAACGTTCGTCTCTGCTGAATTTGAACCTGATCTGCCATGGTCCATATTAGCTTATCAATAGTAGGCCGAAACAAAATTTTGGAGTCCTTAATAACTTTCATGTATCTTGCATTAGCAGACTTTACAAAGGAGGCAGACAAACAATAATCTAATATTAGGAACATTTCAAACACCATCAAGGAAGCAAAAGACCAAACACTTGGAGACTGAAACAAGTAACAAGTCCATAAAGCAGGTTCTAGCCAATGAATACCTTGAGGAACTAAACTCCAGGTGCGAGATTCAATTGACAAGCTCTACCTCAAGGGAACAGAAGCTATAGCAGAGTGCAACGGCACCATTGTTTCTACACAGCTCAGTTCCACAGATAACCTACACTCGTAATAATCTTAACCAACCACAGAGAACCCTGTATAGCTGAAGATATAATGGGTTTATTTGTATAAATGAATACAAATGGGGAGTTTTTTTACCTTGAAATCCGAGAAATGCGTCTCACGGAGGATTGGGCATTTGATTTCAGAAATGATGCTGAAAGTGAGGCTTTCGCGTTGAGTTTGAGAGAAGTGAGGGATTGTAAACGAGAAATAATCGAGACATCACGTTGGAAGACGCCATTGGCGAAGAGGCTACCAGCTCGCCAAGCAAAGAAACAGGCTCCAACAAATTTCGAATGGAAGAGGAAGGTTTTTCAATGAACGACAAATTGTGGAATTTCTAAGAAAAAATATTTGAGAAAAAGTTTAAAAAAAAAGTCCACCATCTTTAGGCTTAGGCTCAAAATCATCCATTTTCGTTCAGCTGGAGCACTAATAGTCCCTATTTTTGACAAAGTAGTGCACTTTGAATCAAAACTCTAACCATTTCTTTGGGAATAAAATGGCATAAGTACCCCTAAAATATACCGAACCAATGTCACTTTTTATATTAGCAAGGGACATGTTACCCCTGAACTTTTTAAAAATAAAATGCCCATCACACGAGACAAAACCTCATGTGCCCCTAATATGTCGTACCCCCCTCAAATTAGGTTTAGAAAATCATTTATACTGGTTAGGAATATGTAGGACTAAGGAAACCTTTTCCTTTTTGCGACCGGAAAAATTCAGGACTTTGACGCCCTGGCACCGCCGATCGGTGACCCAAGTGGTGAAAAAATGTGTCTATTGCTTTTGGCGCTCATTCCACCACGGCTCACCAAGCTGGGTGGTGGAACCTGCTTCTGCTTCTCTCTTCTGCCTTTGGCGCTCCAGGCACCGAGTCTAGGTGGCTTGGGCGCTGAAAATTCCCTTCTTTCATTTTTCCTCTTTTTCATTTCAACCCGTACATATTCACTCTAATTCACCCCAAATCGATCCCTACAAATATAAACACCAGTATTAAGCTTAATTCTTCATAATACACATCAAAATTAATAATAATAGATTAAGATGTGAGGCAATTAGCATACAATAGAAGACACTTTTAGTCGAACATCACTTATGCATAGAAACATATCATTGATGGTATTTGTAAGGAAGATATATGTAGATAATCAAAGATAACAGATGTAAATAATTTTATCAATTATGATATCAGTTCAACTGATAATGATTTAAGTGTTATATGATTTAGTAAATATAAATGTAGATGTTAGTAACGCTTTGAACTGTGATAAATATCTCATTTACAAGGCTCAAATAGTTTTATTGCCACACAAATTCAAGTAAGGTTGACCTTATCACATGATTGCACGTACTAAAAATAAGAATATACCAATCTAACTAGCACAACAAGAAATAACACGTTAAAAATAGCATTGTACCTGATGTAGAAGTGGGAAGAACCCTATGCAATTATTAACCAAAATATAACTGCACTCAGTTGTGGTATGTAACTTCATTTTGGTATATGCTATGTAGAACGTAATTATGTGTGAATTGTTCACTTGGTACGATCAATTACCAGATTCTTTCAACTACTATGTATAAGTCACATTGAGGTTTTGTGTAAATGGCAAGACACCACTGAATTTAATAGAAATACAGCTGCAATATTCCATAAATACTACCAAAATCAATCAACAAAACATCAAATGTACTAAGTCAGCATTTGAAAACTAATACATTATCGTTCTAAAAGGATAACTACAGATTGCAGTCAACAAAAACAACCAAATCTCTTACTTAGGATAAACAATGTCTGTTTATAGTCAACCAAAAACATCAAATAATTATTTGCTTGCAGATTACAGTCAACAAAAACAACTAAATCTACTGGGGATGTGCAGAACTACTATTCTGGCTTAGGTTGTTTGAACCACCAGTCCTTATTTGAATTCTATATTGCCCTCTAATCTCTTGAAGCCTTCTTGTTGTGATTGCTGGTTTTTCCTTCCATTTCATTCCACTATTTGGTTTGAAACCAATATCACCAGTTACATCAGCTGATCTTGTTATCATTGCCGGATCAGTGGATACTATTTTGGTACTTGGCGTGGATACTATTCTACTACTTGGCATGCCAGGCTACAGAGAAAGAACTTATCACAAATATACAAAATATATTGAATATCACAAAGAATATACACTTACATTCAAAGTTTTGAAGCCATTTTCATCTTGAAACACACCCATTCCCATCATTCTTGGTCTTTTAAAATTATTTTTGTATTTTTCACACCCTTTCTCCTTCCTCTATTTAGTGTAGCAGTAGAGGCATTAGGTGCTGCAAATGCATTAGGTGTTGATGATGTACAAGGTGCAGAACATTCAGACCAACTGGCTAGTGGATGATGAGCAACAGATGTTGCATTAGTTGCTGATGGAGTTGCATTCCAAGATACTCCTCTTCCCCTACCTCTACTAGCTGCAGTTGTTGCATTCCTGGATCCTCCTCTTCCCCTACCTCTACTAGCTGCAGCAGATGTTGCATTAGGTGCAGCAGATGTTGTATTGTTTGATCTGCCTCTTCCCCTTCCTGTATTAGCTGCTGCAATAGGTGCAGTTAATGAAAATCAGCAGCAGAAGTTACAGTACTTGAAAATTCAGCAGCAGTAGAGGCATTAGGTGCAGTAGATGTTGATTTGCTAGGTCTTCCTCTCCCTCTTTTAGCAACAGGTTCAGCTTCTACATTTTTTGGTTTCGAACAAATAATAAACAGTAAGATATAGTGTTAGAATTTAAAAGAAAGTGGATACAGTTAGTTATACTATATTACCTTTGGTCTGCCTCTATTTTTTCCTGAACCTGATGCTTCCGCGGTAGTAGAAGTTACATTTGATGGTGCAACAGAAGTTCCTGAACCTGATGGATCTGTAGCACTCTTATGACACCCCTCTTGTTGTGACCAACACCGTTACAGATGCTACACCTCATGACAAGTCCAGTTTTAGGCAACTTTCCAGATTTTTTTGTTTCAGTTGCCTCTTTTCTCCTAATATTTTGGGGCCTGTCAGGCATACTTTTCACCACTGGTTGTGCAATAGGAGGGTTAGTAGATGCATGCCACATTTCCATACTATTGAGTGGTTGAAGGAAGTGAGAATATGTCATCAAATATGTCCCCTTCATGTAGCAGTTATCAACATAGTCAACTGGTTCATATCCTTTATAGTACATTGCAGCTATGACATGTGGACATAGTATCTCCTTCAACATCCAAGCCTTACAACTACAAGTACTATTTCTTAGGTAAACAGTATGTTGGTTTGTTCCCTCCCTAACCCGATTTCCTGTATCTCCATTAAAAAAAATTGTACACCTCATTTACTTTTCAATATGTTCCTCTAAGACCTTTAATGCCATTGGAGAAATATTGCAGGACCAAGTATTTACAAATTCCCTTAACTTAGATATTCTAGTCATCATCTTGACTCTTATTTCTTCAAGTATGGTGATAATGGTCTTGTGCCTTGCAGCTAGGATCCATGCATTAAAACTTTCAGCCATATTATTATCTACTGCATCATACTTGACTTTCACATTAAAATATATCTTACACCAAGTCTCTTTGTTTTAGTACAAAAGATCATCAACTATGTTCTTCCCAAGCATACTGAGTGTTTTTAGGTTTTTCTTGAATTCAGCCTCATATGTACTTCTATCACACTTCCAGAACAGCATCCTCCTCTGAATCCCTCTCCAATTCTTTGACCACTTTGCAAGGATGTGCCTAGCATACACCCTATGCTCACAAGCTGGTATAATATCTTGAATTGCTGCTAGAAATCCCTATAAAAAAGAAAATTGGTTAGTAATCAAACATGAAAACGGAGAAAAGAATATAATAAAGCTGGAATGATATATCTTTTGCATGTCTTTAATCAAAGTGAAACCCCTGCCATCTCCTAATCCCAAATCATCCTTAAGCAAAGATACAAACCATGTGCAGGTATTTTTGTTTTCATATTCCACTGCTGCCCAAGTAAGTGGAAGCATTTGGTTGTTGGCATCCTTAGCTACAGCAATTAATAACTGCCCTCTACTAACTCCTTTCAAGAAACAACTATCTAAACCGATGCATTTCATGCACCCCGTGAATGCATTCTTCAATGCACCAAAACAGATGTAGAAACTTTAAAATACTGCCTTACCAGATTCATCAGCTTCACCAAATTTCACCACACATGTACTCTCAGGGTTGGTCCTTAACAATTTTTTCCTGTAATCTAGAATTCTTCCACACTCAAGAATATGGTCACCTATAATTTCTTTCAATACTTAGGCTTTTGCTCTCCTAGTTGTGGTCTTGCCAACATGCACTTTAAACTTCTTCCTAATTAACTCTTGTAACTTGAAGACTCTTATATTTGGTTGTTCAGCTATTTTATCTTTAAACACTTTAGCTAGAGATTTAGAATTGCACAGGTAATTTCTGGTGGCCCTATTACACTTGTGAACTGGATTATAAGTCCTAAGCACAAAATTATTACTTGAAGTATCAAGACTTGCATACAACATCCATGAACAAATGTCCTTGCACCTCACCCTGACTCTTGTTGGCTCATTCACATATTTTTCCACCTGAACCCTCCTTTGAACAGCATACTTGGTTACTGCATCTCTAAATTCATCCACATCTGCAAAAATCATACCCCGCTGCCACATAACATTTTTAGCTGTGGGATCATAAACCACCTTCTTTGTAGAAGAAGTTCTTCTTCTTGGTAGATTTACCCTAACTTCTTCCCCATCTTCAACCCAACATTCATCTTCATCTGTTTCAAAGCTAGATGCATCAGAACTTGGGTAATATGATTCGTCACCCCCTATCCTTCCTTCTATACTTTTTTTACCTGTTTCAGTTTTAACAAACCCCAAATGTGGTCTAGCTACACCACATAGAACATTATCAAGGTCAGCAGGAGCTCTCTCCTTTCTTTTTCTTTTCTAGAAAGACTTTCTCTCGGCCCTAAACTCTATGAACTCTTCATGTATATCACTGCCATAATCCTCTACACCATCGCCAAAAAAATCACTATCTTCAAAACTTGAACTATTTTCACTTGAGTTATCAGATTCCTCCTTAGTTGAGGATGAATCTGGATGTGGATCTGGTAGAGGAGCTGCTGGATCAGTAGGTGTAGGTGAAGTTGCTGCTGCACCATTTAAAGCCTCCTCACCAATCCCAATATTTTCACTAGCACTTGCTTCAATGGTCCCATCCCCTTTATTAAAGGCTGAACCAGATTCCTCTACACCGATGTCCTGGACATATACTTTCAAAATAGCTCCATTTTGCAAGAACTGTGCAATTTTTGAAAGCTCCCTGTCATTGTTTATATTTTCTATAATACCACAGTTAGGTGGCCTAACACTAAATGTGCAACTGTTGTTGTACCCCCAATTCTTTAATATAGTCAACCAACTCAAAATAAGATATAGTATCCATATCAACATTCACATATTCAGTCATTACCCCACCCACATATCTTGGTTCCCAACTTTCAACCTCTAAGACCCCACCATGAAACAATCTCAATGTCACAAATATAAACACACTCATACCTGAATGCAAATAAACAATAACAATAAATTCAAAAAAATCCCCAACAATAAAATTATTGTGTTGAAAATAGGGCAGCATTAGAAAATTAATTATTTACTTACAACCAAGAACACAACAATGTAAACACGCAAAATCAAAACTTTAGTATTAAAATCGACATGCAAACCCCTCAGTTTCAAAATTAAAATCTCATAATTTTGTACAGTGACAGATTTTTTATAAAATCTTAAACTACCAAAAAAAATCAATTAAAGACGGTAAAGAACTAACCTTTAGTCTTGGATTGTGACGAGTAAATAGCTAATGGTTCTGCGCGGACCTTGATTGTAACACCACAGTATCAAATTAAACCCTAGATTGTAACGCCCCACTGAAATTGAAGACGATAAACCATAAAAACAGAGATTACATACTTCTTTGCATTATATTAGAGCCGATTTTGCAATAGAATAAAAAAAAAATTATGATTGGAGCGATTTTATGGAAGGAATCGAAGAGGGGAGATTGAAAACTTGGTTTGGA